CTTCCTTGAGCTCCCAGGAAAAGCAGGATGCTCTGAATTCTGTGATTATATCTCTGCCATCTGGAGGAACAAGGACTCAAAATAGAAATTACTGTGAATTTAGAAAAATAGAAAAAAAATTACATTTCATGCACGTGTGGGTTTGTGGACTAAAGTTTACTCCTACTATTCCATTACTAGTCCTGCCACCCTGTACACCAGGGTATATATTTTAACTAAAAGCTTCAGAGTTAGGGAAAGGGAAAGATGAAGTTAAGGTCAAAGAAGAAGTAGGAAAGAAAAACAAGAGGGGGAGGCTAGGAAAAGAATGAGCTCTCATATGTCTACCCTCATCTGGGGAAGATAAGTAAGGTTTATATGTAGGGTCAGACGGTACTGGTTAAAATTCTTGCTTCATCATTAACAACATAGGCAAGCTTGGGTAAGTCATTTAACTAGCTGAGCTCAATTTCCTAATGTACAATGTAAGGATAATAATAATTTTTTATTCCCACAGGTTTTTTGCAAGGGTCAAGAGAAATAATGGTCATAAAAGGGTACTGAAAAGTGAAAAGACTTTACTATGTGGATTCATATTACCCAGTGACTAGCCATTAGTAAGTGCTCAATAGTTGTTTGCTGTTACAAAAAAAAGGGAAATGAGGGGAGAGCTGAATTCCAAAGGCCACTTAAAATTACCAGCCCCTTTACTTGTCAAATAATTGTGATATTTTATTTGTCTTTTCCATTTTCCTGGAGCCATTGCTGCATTTTTTAGTTGTTTGTTAAAGACCATACCCAATGCAACAGGACAACTTGTATTACCAGCTGATGTAAATTCCACTGATAAGTAGCTTCACTGTAAAGACAGAGTGTTTCAGTGTGTGGCCTCTTGTCAAATGACTCAGAAAATGGCAGTTCTCCATCACTAATCTTCTGAGTTTTGTCCCTAGTCCTTCAATTCCCTTCTTCCCATTTTAAATTTACCCTCAAATTTATCACTCCATTGGACCATCAGACATATTTGGAATGCTTACTGAAATATAAGAGTTTCATAATAAGTAACAAAATGAGAAAAATTCCCTAAAAAAAATTCCGTATGAAAATTCTCTTCTTACACTATCCACACTTCACAATGTTTACAAATAACAAAGTGTCAGGGTGCAGCTGACTACAGTGTGTAAAAATTCATTTTTCGGAATGCAACTTTCCTTCCATATTACACCAATAGAGTTTGTTCACTCCTTTAACTCAGTCCACGGAGCATAAGGGGAATTTGGAGGAGGTAATTCAGGAAGGAGAGGCACACATCAGCCCACCATGCTCTTCTCCACATCGAGCTCGCCACTAGCCATCAACAGCCTCCCCTAATCTTGCATCCCAAACTGAGAATGGTCTCAGCCAATTGTACGTGGTCCTTTCACACACCACCCTATGGGGCTGAACAACATGTAAAGGAACAGCTCAGTGACTGTCTCCCTCCATCATTGCATGCACTATCATCACATCACACTTGAAGTTCAAAAACTGTTTCTCTTTTTTCCAATTAAGAGCTCTTGTGGAAACCCTAGTGACATTTTGCAGAGCCTCGGAGTTCCTCAGAAACCCAGTTGAGAATCCCTGGTGTATAGGTATCAAATCTTCTTTCATGTATGTGTGTGTGTGTGTATGTGTGTACAAGTGTATGTATGTATTATTTATTTTTGGCTGCGTTGGGTCTTAGTTGCAGCAGGTGGGATCTTTTGTTGCAGCGCTCAGGCTTCTCTCTAGTTGTGGTATGCGGGTTTTTCGCTTCTCTAGCTGTGGCGTATAGGCTCTGTAGTTTGCAGCACGCAGGCTCTCTAGTTGAGTCTCCCGGGCTCAGAAGTTGTAGCGTGTGGGCTTAGTTGCCCCGTGGCATGTGGGATCTTAGTTCCCCAACCAGGGATTGAACCCGTGTCCCCTGCATTGGAAGGCGGATTCTTTACCACTAGACCATCAGGGAAGTCCCCATGTGTATGTATTTAAATCCTGGATTTTTCTTGTTTCTTGAATATATAAGGGGGTGTTATATAAAGAACAGATGGCACAAGGCTTGAATAAGTCTGAGGTCTGATAGACTTACAACCAGCTTCTGAAGAGGTAATCTGTCAAACTGTGCCTTGGATCCCTACCAGATCTTCATGCGGGCACACCCTATCTTGTGAGCCTGTGAAAAGTGACTTTGTTTAGCCCATGTTCCAAAGGCAGTGACTGTGGGATTGCTGATCATGTGGCTGCTTCCTAGTCTTTGGTCAGGAAACCTGACACACCATTCACAAGCACACACTGTTGACTTATCAAGTGACCTCTCTCTCTCTTTCTCTCTTTGTTTCACGTGCTCTTGGGAGAACGCCTGCTTCTTATAGGAAGTTTCATTATAATCTAACCCCTTGCATATACCTTGGTGCAAATGGCAAAAATCTAGACATAGAATACTAATGACCATTGTGGGGAATTTCTGAGAAGTCAGAATCAATAACTTAACACATTTAACAGGAGCTCCAGAAAAATTAGGAGACAAAACAGTAAGCATAGTCAGCTAAGTGCTGAGACCCCAAAATAAAATTCTAGCTCTAAGATAGATTCCTTTCAAAGACTGAAGTCTTCTGAAACCTATCTTCTTCCATCTCTCTTTTCTCTGACACTTATTTATATAACCACGGACCTTCTAAATGACCTACCCTTTCTTTCTTCAGGGGTTTCTCAGGATAGGAGCAATCTAATTTCTCTTTGTCCCTGTATCTTTCTCTCTTTCCTCAAACTCCCACACTCTACTGCAAGACTGTCTTTCTGTGATTATCTGGTTACAGCTTCTGAATTTTATGGATACAGCCACGTAAAAAGAGTCCAAGGCTAAGACTAGGCTGAGGCAAGAGGGCACCTGGAGTGCAAAATTTCAGGACTTCAGGGACTTGGTCATGCAAGTAAATTTTGCTACCTAGGTGCCTTCTTGCTACACCTTTAGTCCTTACCTTGATAGAGTGACTGGTGACTCTGGGTCTCCATTCCAAATTGGCAAGGGGGGAACATCCCTGGCACACCTTGAATCAGGTGTCCAGTCTTGATCCTGTCAGCAACGGCCCCCCGGGGTGGAGGTCACATGGTATAAACATAGCTGCTGAGGGTCCATCTCTGGGCTTTAGGGAGCAGTTCTCAGATAAAGAGGGACCCTGACTTGGGAAGAGACTCTAATATTTTATATTACAAAAGCACTATGTAAGTAAAGTATTTTAATTACATTTTTGGTGCTATTTTTTCCTGCCCCTGTTATGAATTTCATAACTCTGAAGCATGTACATTGTATAATTTACTATATGAGTATCAATAGGATTCCTAAAGTTTTAACACATAGTTGCTGCCCTTGAAGAATTTGCAGTCCGCCTGGAAGAATAAGACCAGATGCGGGATGCACGCAGGAATGCAGGAGAATACTTATGTTAATTAATTCAAATTAATTCAATTTGAAAACCAAATCTATATCGAGTCAATAAATTATATAGAAGTTTTGAGAAGGAAGAAGAATTTGTGGAATAGGGCACGCAAGTACCCCTTCTTAATGATCTCTTTTTGGGAAGGAGGAAAGAGCAGATACAGAGTTATAGGAAGGACCAGATCAGAAAATACCAAGGGAGCACTGAAATGTCACATGGGATGTGGGGTGTTCTTATTCATATTACAGGTCCCATTTCCCTGATACATATGAAAGACCCAGGAAGTTTGAATTGATGCCACCTTCTTCTGCCAAGAACTCTGCTGGTATTGAGGGAAAACATTCACAATCATTCTATTTATTCCAAATTATTCTATTGACCATGAGTTTTGAAATGGTCAGTAATGCTGGTTGTTGATGGGGGTCAGGTGGGAGGGAGTGCGTCCTTTGCAGGAAATCACTTTCTTAAAAGAAGCACAAAATGCATTTTTCCTTGACCCTCTCTTTCCTCCAAAGACCTGCTTTCAACAGTGAAGAACTGGGCATTAAAACCCCTCTTCTGCCCCTGCACTGCCAGAGCCTGTTTATTTTCTCCAGAATCTTTTCTGCTCACAAATCTAAACCCCAAAGGCTTCACTTTGCATTCCTCTGTAAAATAAAATCAAGGATCCCTTGGAGGATCAAGCTTTCTGAGAGAACACCTGTTACTACCATTTGTGTGAAGATACTGTTGGAAAAATGATGCATACCTATGTCAAAGTTTCATATGAGAAATTTCTTTTAGGAAAATATTGGAAAGGCCTCACTTTTTCCTTTCCTTTGAGAAATTGGTAACCCTTTCTATGAGACTAATTAGAACAACACAACTGAGAGATTGCCTTTTTTCCTTTGGCTGTCATTCATTCAGTGTCTCTGATGCTACTTCATATTTTCCCAGATCCTATTTTATTTTTATTTGTTTATGCCTCCTTTATCTATAAGCAGGTTCAAATCCTTTGTGGAATGAGGTATAGAAGAAAGGAGGGAAAGTAAAGAAAGAAGGAATGTACAGAGGGAGGAAGGAGGGAGAGAGTACCCCAAATTTTGCTTATAAAATGAGGAGAGTATGAAATAGCTGATCAAATGTATATTTCATTCTCTTTGCTACAAACAATATTTTATGTTTATCACTCTGTTGGAAAGCCACAAAAGCAGATCATGAAGTTTTATTTTCCCTTAAAAAGAACAAATAATGGGAACTCTGAAAAGAGCTGGCAGTCCGTCTTACAATGGCAGGGAGGGATTGGAAACTAAAAAAAGAGAAAAGAAAAAAAGAAACAACAGCATAACGTGTTTCTTGTTTATGTAGGTATGGGAGTTGAAAAGCAGCACTGATCCTTCCAATAAACCCTTAATCATGCATTACCCCCTCGGATCCTAACAAACACCAGTGAAATAGGTCACCTGGGAATGATCTCAACTGAAGATATGAAGCTCAACTTACTCAAAACCACAAAACTAAGATTTCCTACAGTGTTGTAATGGATAAGACAGTGAGCATGTGTTGTAATGGATAAGACTTTGAGCATGTCACTTAACCTGTTTCCTCATATGTAAAATGAGAATAATGAATACTGTCTGCAACACCCTATTTTCCCTCCTCCAAATGTCCTGTGTATTTTGCACTAGTATCCAGAAATCTGCCTTGGCCAGACCTAATATAAGCCTTGTCTGGGCCTCTTCCTCGGAACTGAAGTCTCCAACTCAGAGTTTTCTCTTTCACTGCAGGGTAGGAAATACCACTTGGTCCCTTTGCCGGTTGCCAATGTTCCAGCTGACAGCCACCCCAGCAAGTGCCCTCGTGGATGAGCCCGTGCACATCCGAGTGACAGGCCTGCCCCCACTGCAGACGGTGACACTCATGGCATCTATGAAGGATGAGAAGGGGAATCTGTACCAGTCCAGAGCCTTCTACAGGGCCAGCAAGGCTGGTGAGCTGGACCTGAAGCAGGCTCCTGCCTTGGGCGGCCACTACGTGGGGGTCCACCCTATGGGCCTCTTCTGGTCTCTGAAGCCTGAGAAGGCTTTTGAGAGGCAGATCAAGAAAGATGTGATGAACAGCCCCTTTTGGATCACTCTGGAGCTATATGACTCCGTTTATTTACAAAAGTCAGGGGAGGTTCAGCCCAGGGCCAGCCAGGTGGTGCAGCGTTGGTTCTCCAGCCCTCAGATGCAGCGGGTGCAGGTCCAAGAAGGTCGTGTGCGAGGAGCCCTTTTCCTCCCTCCAGGTGAGACTAATCTTTCATGATCTAGAAGACATGGTTCATGGAAATAAAAACAAAAACAAAGGGCATCAAACTGTTGGCAAACTAGTATTTCCCACAATATTTTAAAAGTAATAAGCCGTTTCGTTGTGTGTGTGATGGTGGAACTCATTCTGCTCAGCCTGTACTTTCGCTGGCACCTACTCGACCCTCTTGTTGCTCTTTGTGATCTCATTTTCTTCTCTTTTTTCTTGCTCTTAGGGGCAGGCCCTTTCCCAGGACTCATTGATTTGTTTGGGGGCATCGGGGGTCTAGTTGAGTATCGGGCCAGTCTTCTGGCTGCCCACGGCTTTGCAGTGCTGGCCTTAGCATATTTTGCCTACGCAGACCTGCCCAAGCAGTTGCAGGAGGTGGACCTGGAATATTTTGAGGAAGCTGCCAACTTGCTACTAGCTCATCCCAAGGTATTTAAAATACTTTTCATTTTACCTGGCAACATTATAGCCAAAAAAATAAAAAATCACAAATGTCCGTTCTGCCTATATCACCAGTCTGTTTAGACTTGGGCACACACAGTTGAGTGAAAATGCAGATAATAATACATACCTCGTAGGATTGTTGAGTTGATTAGGATCAGCTTAGTGCTTACTGGCACAAAGAAGACAATAAATGGTGGGTATATTATGATTCTCTTCATTTGCTAGTTCAAAAATGTTCAAATATCCGGTATTTCTTACAGTTCAACCTGACAGGGTAAAACAACCGTATCACCTAATGTTTCTATTAAGTGACTATTTGTTAGACTCTATGCTAAATACTTTATATGCACTATCTCATTTAATGCTTATAATTACTGTGCGAAGTTAGTACTTTTGACATGGTCCTCATTTTTCAGATGAGAAGGCATACCCATCTCAGTTAAGTAAGAGGCCAACACTCCACAGCCAGTAAGTGACAGAGCCCTTGGGGCAATGTCTTTGCTCCAAACCGTTAAGTCATCCTGACTCCCCAACTTACATCGTTCTCTCCTGGAGCCTTGACTCTTCTCAAGAAGAGATAGGATATGTTTGCTATTGGAGCATCACCGGTATCCTCATCTTCAGTGTTATCATCATCATAATCAAATATACACGTGATTTTCCTAAGCATATTTGGCTCTGTTTAAAGGATTGCCTAGAAGGAATTAAATCCCAGGTAAAATGTTTTCAAGTTAGTTTTTTTTTTCACTTCAAATTTAACTATTTGTGACATTGTATGAGGAGAAAGGGCAATTGCCAAAATTCAATTTGTAGTCAGATTCCACAGAAGAGGTTCAATTCCCACCTCTGCCCCTTGATACTGTTGTAACCTTGAGCGAGACTTACACTTCCTGAATCCCCGTTTTCTTGTTGGAGGGCCGAGCATATAGTAAACGCTCAATAAATCCACCTTGTCACCTGTGCCCATCTGGTTTCTTCCCTCTTCCTTTCCCCATACCCTCAACCCATCCCAAAGTGTTTTAGGTTCTTTCTCAGTACATCACACCCTCTTCACCCTCCCTGCTGCTGTTTTAGTCCCTCATCATTGCTCAGCTGTGATGCTGCAATAGTGCATTAATCAATTTCCCGTCTCCATTTACAGCCCTCCTCCCTCACTTCCCAATCCACTCCTCACGTGGATGGTTCCCAGATGTGGATGCACACTGGATTTCCTTGGGGATATTTTATAGTATCAGATTCTTGGGCCCACTCAGACCTACTGAAGTAGCTCTCAAAAAACTGAATCTTAGGGGATTCCGTGGTGGCGCAGTGGTTAAGCATCTGCCTGCCAATGCAGGGGATGCGGATTCGTGCCCCGCTGGGCCTACGCGGGTTCATGCCCCGCTGGGCCTACGCAGGTTCGTGCCCCGCTGGGCCTGTGCGTCCGGAGCCTGTGCTCCACGACGGGAGAGGCCACAACAGTGAGAGGCCCGCGTACCTCAAAACAAAACAAAACAAAACAAACAAACACAAAAACTGGATCTCAGAAAGCTCAAGTTTTAAAAGTTTTTTTTTCAGCTGATTCTGATGATAGAAAGGTGCTGGGGATACAACTGTGAGCAAAGTTAACACACAGGGTCACTATGTATTTGCTATTGTTTGTCCAGAATGCCCTTCCTTTCCTCATTTATCCCTCAGACTTCTTCCCTTCCCTCTGGTCCCTGGGCCCACCCCAAAGTTAAGGACTCCCTCCTGTGACCTACTACTTTTCCTAGTGGACTGAGAACTGACATTCAGTTTTTTACAGAATCTAAGTCTTTCATCTTTACACTCCCAATCCTTCCAGGATTAGCCTTTGGTTTAACAAATATGCAAATCCTTTGTAGCTGTAAAATGCTGTTTAAGTATGAATTACACTTACCTAATATTTGAAAGAAACTGGGACACCTCTTTTACTAGCTGGAGAGAAGAATTCGATTCTTCAAAAATCTTACCTGCCTCTGCTCTTGTGATGTCTAATGTTGCTGGTGTATTAGACCCTTTTTGCCTTTATAGAGCTCTGCTTTGGGTGAAGAGTTTTAATTTCTATTTTTTCACTTAATCTTCATAACTGTCCTACAAGGTAGGTAATATTATCACCCCCATAAGACAGTAAGGCTTAGGGAGGGTAAGTAGGTAGTATTCTCTCTCAGTCGCAAAGCCGGTAAACCTTAGTGCCAGGACTCCCACCCCACATTTTCAAACTCTTCCCATCATACTAGCTTACTGGCCTCTAGGAGAGCTCCTTCTCAGAGAATGTCCTGTAATGGGTTTCCTTTATTTTCTCCTTCAGATCCAAAAGCCAGGAATTGGAGTGATCTCTGTGAGCAAAGGTGCAGAGATCGGGCTGGCCATGGCCTGCTACCTGAAGGAGGTGGCAGCCACTGTCTGCATCAATGGGTGCAATGCCATCTTTGAATTTCCGCTCAAGTACCGGGATCTGGTTATAACACCCATCCCCTCGTTGCCGGAGCGCATGGAGTTCAACATCATGGGCGCTTTGTGCCTCCGTCACTACAAGGGGAACCCCCGAGATGCACTGAATCAACACAGTGTGCTTCCTATTGAAAAGGCCCAGGGTGCAATCCTCTTCGTTATAGGGGAGGATGACGAATGCTTCAATAGCAGAGAGTACGCTGAGCAAGCCCTGGACCAGCTGCGGAGGCACGGCAGAAGCAACGGAAGGATGCTGCTCTACCCCGGGGCGGGCCACCTCATAGAGCCGCCCTATTTGCCCCTGTGCTATGCGTCCTGGAGCCGCGGCCTCTTCTGCCCCCTGCTTTGGGGGGGGGACCCTGTGGGCCACGCGGCAGCCCAGGAGCACGCCTGGGGAGAGATCCAGAAATTCTTCAGGCAACACCTTGTTCAGAGCAGAAGCACACTCTAAGGGTGATGATAGGGGAGGAGAAACAAAAAAATTGGATAAGGCAGGGATGTGGGTGGGGGAGGGGACTCTTGATTTCTCTAGATTCACAGTCATCTTGAATCAACTGGAAGGAAATTGGACAAAGTCAAAGAATCAGGTGCATCTGAAATATTTCTGACAAAATTGTATGTGCTTTGAATTTTTGTAAAGTGAATCTTGGTTTATATGCACCAGGTACGTTGCTATTTCAAAATTGTGATACCCTTGCAAATTGAATAACCTTTTGTACCCCGGTAAGGGAAACCTTGGATCCAGGTATTGCCAATCTAGATGAATGTTCTGGAACTTTGAAGTCACTTATGAAATCATTTTCTGTTTAAACCATTGTGGGTTGAATTTGACATTTGATATGAAAAGTTCCTGATGCCACCATCAAGGGTAATCCTTGCTAGAGATTTCCAGTAGATACGTTAATTCTTTTTTAGAATAGTGATGCTTCTTTTTATTCCTAAAATATATTTCTTTTTTATAATTTTAATCAGGAGTGGGGCTAAATGCTCAAGTGCCTTTGGAGCATTTAGTGAAATTAAATGAGCTATATTTAAAGTGATTAGAAGAGAGCCGGGCACATAGCAATTTCTATATCAGAGTTAGCTATTATCATTTTCATGATGCTTTTCTCCTATAATCTGTTAATGTGGTGAATTGCATTCATTAATGGACTAATTTTGCTTATTCATCTAATTCTACTAGATCAGTTTCTCATATTGACTAGTTTGGGCTTTAAAATTTCTTTTGAAGCCAACCTAGTCATTTATATTTTCTCAGAATTTCACCCCTATTTTCTGGAACACATTTTTCTCATAATTTTTTACATATCCCCTGTTGTTTATTTGCATGCTTTCTCCTTTTCCTTTCAGTCTGACTTGCTAAATATTTGTCTATTTTATTAACCTTTTCTTAGAATAGCTTTTGGGTTGTTTATTGGTCAAATCTAATTTTTCCTGATTCATCAGTGTATGCTTCTTTGAAATAAGTTCATTCCTTCTGCCATATTTGTGTTTTCCTGGCTTTTTGATATGCAGTGTTCTCATTTTGTTAATGTCTAAATAGTTTCTGATTTGCTTCCTCCCTCCCCCCACCCTTAAACCCAAGAGTAATTTTACCAAAGTACAAAGTATCATCCTGTAGATAACTTGCTGGTTATAAGGACCTCACTTTGCAATGGAGGGGTCAGATTGTCTCCACCTGAACCCACTGATCAAATTTAGCATCTCTAAAAATGGTCAATTTGACTTGTTGTGGTTCATGACAAGATGTAATGTGGAGCGCCCAGCACTGCTTAGAACTATTTCTAACAACACTTTTCAACTTGAAGCTAATCAAGCCCTTAGATCAAACTTCTTACTAATGTGGTAGTTAGTGAACAACTTAAATGGTGCTACAAGGAGACAAACAGAGATTGTCCATCATTCTATGACCTGGTCTCTTCACAAGTTAATTACCAACTCACCTTGTCTCTTTTCACAAGTTAATTGCATGAAAAAATATGGAATTTTTCACTTTGTGGGATTTTGCTTTCCTTTTTGCATTGGAGTGAGCTGGGGGATTGTTCAAAATTAAAAGGGACTTAAGAGGCATATCAACCAAATGCTATGTGTGGGCCTGGTTTGAACAAAGTAACTGTAAAAAGACATTTGGGGGATAATTAGAGAACTCTGAATATGACTGGATATTAAACGATACTATGAAATTGTTATCTTGTTAGGGGTCAAAATGGTATTGGGGTTATGTAAAAAAGTAACTTTTTAGAGATGCATACTGACATATTTAGAGGTGAAGCGTTGCAGTATCTGGGGATTGTTTTAAAATACTACAGGAATCTGGCAAATGTGAAAAGTTATTATATCCAGATGATCGGTATAGTGAAGTTTGTTTTCTCTACTTTTATGTATGCTTGCAAATTTTTCATAATAAAAAAGTAAGAGATATAATCGGTATACTTACTTTTCTGCCCCAACAGACAAGAACTTCAGCATGCATTACATCTTTTCTCCATGACAACCCCATTAATTTCATATTAATTTTTTTGGAACCAATAATTATTTTTAAATTAATTTTGATTGGAGTATAGTTGCTTTACAATGTTGTGTTAGTTTCTGCTGTGCAGTAAAGTGAATCAGTCATTCGTATACATATATCCACTCTTTTTAAGATTTCCTTCCCATTTAGGTCACCACAGAGCATAGAGTAGAGTTCCCAGTGCTATACATTTGGTTCTCATTAGTTATCTGTTTTATACATAATAGTGTATAAATGTCAATCCCAATCTCCCAGTTCATCCCACCCTTGGTAACCATAAGTTTGTTCTCTACATCTGTGACTCTATTTCTGCTTTGCAAATAAGTTCATCTGTACCATTTTTCTATATTCCACATATAAGTGATATTATACATTTGTTTTTCTCTTTGACTTGTTTCACTCTGTATGACAATCTCTAGGTCCATCCATGTCTCTGCAAATGGCACTATTTCGTTCCTTTATATGGCTGAGTAATATTCCATTGCATACATGTACCACATCTTCTTTATCCATTCCTCTGTTGATGGACATTTAGGTTGCTTTCAGGTCCTGGCTATTGTGAATAGTGCTGCAATGAACATTGGGGTGCATGCATCCTTTTGAATTATGGTTTTCTCCAGGTATACACCTAGGAGTGGAATTGCTGGGTCATATAGTAGCTCTGTTTTTAGTTTTTTTTTTTTTAATTTATTTAATTTATTTATTTTTGGCTGCATTGGATCTTCGTTGCTGTGCGCGGGCTTTCTCTGGTTGTGGCGAGCAGGGAGTACTCTTCGTTTCAGTGACTGGGCTTCTCATTGCAGTGGCTTCTCGTTGCGGAACACAGGCTCTAGGTGCGTGGGCTTCAGTAGTTGTGGCATGCGGGCTCAGTGGTTGTGGCTTGCGGGCTCTAGAGCACAGGATCAGTAGTTGTGGCACGTGGGCTTAGTCGCTCTGCAGCGTGTGGGATCTTCCCGGACCAGGACTTGAACCCATGTCCCCTGCATTGGCAGGCGGATTTTTAACCACTGCACCACCAGGGAAGTCCCTCTTTGCTTCTTATAAGAGGTTGATGAGGAGTATCCAGTGGTGATATTTTTCATATCTTCATTTCCAGGTGATGCCGTAGACTATCAGTATTCTCCTTACTACTTGAAATAGAGTTATTAGCAACTTTAAATCTAATCAGGTTGAAGAGCCAGTTCCAGAAACGCCAGAACCAATTCAGAAAATTCATCCTTAAAACTGTTTCTTTAGAAACACTCTCAGTACCAAAATCTCAGTCAGGGTTCTCTGGAAAAATAGAAGCAACAAGATAAATATACAGAGAGAGAAAGAAATTTATTATAAGGAATTGGCTCAGGCGGTTATGGAGGCTAAGTCCCCAGATCTGCAACCTGCAATCTGGAGACCCAGGAGAGCTGATGCTGTAATTGTAGTCTGAGTCTGAAGTCCTGAGAACCACAAGAGTTAATAGTGTAAATTACAGTCCGAAAGCGGGCAGACTCAAGATCCAAGGAGAGCCGATGTTTCAGTATGAGACTGAAGGCAGGAAAAGACAGACGTCTTAGCTCAAACAGCTAGGCAGGAGGAGTTCCCTCTTTTTAAAGGAAGGTCGGACTTTTTGTTCTATTCAGCTTTCCATTGATTGGGTGAGGGCCACCCTTATTAGGGAGGGCAATCTATTTTACTCAGTCTGTTGAATTTAATGTTAATCTCATCCAAAAACACCCTCACAGACATATGCAGAATAACGTTTGACCAAATAACTGGGATCCCTATGGCTCAGTCAAGTTGATACATAAAATTAACCATCACAGGATAGGTAGCCAGTAAATTATTTCCATTTTACAGGTGAGTAAACTAAGCCTTGAGGAGTTTTAACATACCTAAGCCCACACAAGTACAGATGACTTTACAATGGGATTGAGTTTATAGTCTTCCTCCAAAACTCATGTAACTATTATTTCACCTGCCTGACAGCAGTATCTACCCAGGTCGCAGTAGCTAGGGATGAAATAATCCAGTCTTCTGTTGTCTGTTATATTATGGCTTCCACTAGAATTTAGGTTGGATATGGTGTCTTTATAATTTTTTAGTTTGGTTACCTCAACACATAATATTAAAAGACAGACTAGTTCAAAGAAAGAGAGCCTTACAATACTTTAACTGATAATACCACACATACAGAAAGAAAAATTCAGACCAACCAGAGGTGTGTTCTGGCCTCAGGGAGAAAGATTTAGTGAATATCCATCATTGCCCTGAATGAGAAAAACTGGGTCAGAGAAGAAAATCCACCAATAGAGGAAATATAGATGGGTCAACAATAGAAAAGTTATCTTAGCCATGGGACCAGGACTGTGCAGCAGGCCTTTCCCATGGCTTATTCAATGATCTGTATACACTATTCACCTTTAAAAGAATTTTTTTTTCATGCTAACCAAGCAATATTTTAACTAATAAAATGGTTTTCTAGACACCCTGATTACAAGATGGGGTATGGGTAGGGGATGTCAAATTCTGGACACAAATTAGTGATGATTCCACCATCAATTAATAAATGTTTTTTTGAGCTTATATGTGGTGTGATAAAGATAATATTCGAAAATGTATTTACATGCTTTTCTCATCGCATTTCCTTGCTTTTATTTTTCCGCTGGTTCTATCTGAAACTGAGTAATGATTAGTCAAATCCATTTCACTTGCCTTCATTAATCAAGGTCGTTTTAACACTTGCATGTCCTCCAAGCAGCTCCTAGCCTAAACAAGATGTTTGCCTAAGTTATTTTCCAGGACCTTGGAGTCTCAGCTGTGTATAGTTCAAGTTGAGCTAGTTAAGGGTAGCACCATCGACCCTCCAGCTTGGCAGGTGCTAGTGTCCGCTGGGTGACCTTTTGAACGTACAGAGGCCTGTAGCTTAGCTACACCTGTGCAGGACCACGATTATCGCGCACCCTTTCCCAATTACCTTTCCCCACTCCCCCCACGCCTCAGCCTTCCCTGCTTCTTTATTGGTCATCCCATAAATAACCCAGCCCCTTGTCTTCTGAGAGGTGGATTTGAGGTTCGTTCTCCGGTTTCTTCTCTTGCCTGCCTTGGGAGTAAAACCTCTGCTTCAAGCCTTGGTGACTCAGCGTTTTGGCTTGCTGTGCCTCTTGAAAAATGAACCTGGCTCAGTAACAACTTTGGTGGGTCAACCAGGAGGTAAGTTCAGATGGGAATTTTGCCTGTTGGTTTGTTGGCCTCTTGCTGGTGCTGAGAGCCTGTGCACGAATCCAAGCAGCTTCCTGGTCCATTTGTAATAGGACCGTCCTTGGGATTTCTCTGGGGAGGTGCCACCAATCTTCAGCACTTAGTTTCGTTTTGCTTTGAAAAAATGGTTTCGGGGGCTTCCCTGGTGGCGCAGTGGTTGAGAGTCCGCCTGCCGATGCAGGGGACACGGGTTCGTGCCCCGGTCCGGGAAGATCCCACATGCCGCGGAGCGGCTGGGCCCGTGAGCCAGGGCCGCTGAGCCTGCGCGTCCGGAGCCTGTGCTCCGCAACGGGAGAGGCCACAACAGTGAGAGGCCGGCGTACCGCAAAAAAAAAAAAAAAAAAAAAATGGTTTTGGGTGTTTGGGTTTGGAAGATGTCTTTTGGGTAACCTCGTTAAAGAAACACACCTATGCCCAGGTTGTTTGTGCGATCCTGACCCGGTCGTGGGTTGGAGACCCACCTGGTGGGATGTGGGCAGACAATATAAAAGGTTACAGCCATTGAGTTACCTGGGTTAAAGGCCCGGGATTTTGTTTTTTGATCTTGTCAGGTGGGGCAAAATCCCTTAAGGCAAGTCCCCACTGGAGGTGTGATTGCTGAAATGGGGCAGCCGATGGGATTGACCTGGGCCCATTCTCCTTTTTCAACTTCAGATTTATTTAATTGCAAGAAAAATATGCCAACTTATAGAGATGACCCAAAGACAATGGAAAACTTTCTTTCATCGATTTCTTGCAACCCACAACCCGACCTGGGCCGGTGTTCAAAATTTATTAACCACCCTCCTCATTTCAGGAGCATGTAGAATGGTGCTGGGTAGAGCTGGGGAGGAGGCAGGTGAGCTTCATTCAGAAACCCCTGGCGGCCCGATACAGGCTGCTGCCAGCACAGCTAAACCAGCAGTGCATCCTAACTGGGATGTGATGCTGGGGATAGGCCCAAACTTGGACATTATCAAGACTGCATTCTTGCAGGATTGTGAAGAGAGGGCCGAAACAAAGAAGCCTTAATGAAGCACAGGAGGGAATGCAGAAACGGAATGAGGAGCCTTCAGAATTTCTAGAGAGGATCTTTAAAGCCTATGGGCATATACAGATACAGTCCCTAAGGCCCAGAGAATTTAAAGATGGTTAATATGACTTATTGGTCAGAGGGCCTCTAATACACAGAGGAAAATGCAGAAGGTGGAAGGGGCTTTAGGAATGCCTATGTCTTAGATTGCTGAAATTGCCTTTAAAATTTTTAATGGCAGGGACCATGTTTAGGGAAAAGGAACAATGGAGAATGAAACAACAGGCCACTCTGCTGGCGGCTGCCTTAACACAGAGAAGAGCTGGACCCCCACAAAGGACTCGGCAAAAGGTAGGGGGCCCCCGGCCCTAAACTTTCCCTGGAATGGTACCCGATAGTGGGTGTCACTCTGGCTTTCTTTCAGTTCTTCACATGTGTAAAACTCGTTTTTGCCCCAGGACGTTTGTACATGCTGCTCTCTTGGCTACTTTCTGTCTATTCATCTCCAACTCATTGTAATGTGTATGTCACTTTAAAGAAGACATAACACTTGCCCTATCTAAATTAGGTCTCCCTTCAAAGCACTAAATGTTTTGTGGTCCTCCTTTTCTTCCACTTGACCCAAAATTCCATAAGGGTGAGAAGTAGGTCA